ACTTTTGGTGTCCTCTTATGAAAACCTTGATTCGCGAGCTCAGGTTTTCGGGAAGGTTTTTCATATATACAATCACTATATATATATATATATATATATATATATATATTTGTTCTTTCATCTTTCCTTTTCAACGGATGTGGAACTTCGAATATCCAATGAATCACAAAAGTCTAAACTCATCAACTTCTCTAGAAAGGGAAAAATAATAATAATTATTATTTATTATTTTAAAATAAAATTTTTAAAAATAAATAAAAACAAAAATAAAAAGAATATTAAAACAATAATATACACCATGATATAACCGTTAATTTCGTAAAAATAAAACTATTATTTTATCAATATATTTATGTTTGTTAATTAAAATTTTAGTTTTGTAATTTATGGCGATATTCCTTTTCAATGAGTTTTCGTAGAAATAAAATACGGTTGTCTTTATTTATTTATCTTAATAAATTCTTTTTTCCTGTAATTTACCATTATTACGTTTCTTTTTTTTTTTTTTCACTGAGTGTCGTTTTCCTTTATTTCTAACTTTTCCTTTTTTTTTTGTTTTGTTGCTTAGATCTCTATGTTTAACTTGAATAGTACGCCATTGCTAAATGTTTGAAAGGGGTATATCACTTTGTTTTTGATAATTGTGATTGTGAAAGAGGCTAAATAATTCTCCTAAAAAAAGAGTCTAAATAATTGCAAATGGAATTTGATGGTTAATAAGTTGTGTATTTGAAGCAAGCATTCTGGATCTTCCTCTTTTTTTTCTTTTTCTTTTTTTTTCTTTTTTTTTTTGAAATTAGATCTTGTTCTTCATGTTTAAGTTAGATGGATCTTAATTATCAAGAACTAGACTAAACATTACTAGCAAAAAAAGGGACGAGACTAAACATAAATAACCGGACACGTAGTACTACCGATTCCAAGGGTCTTTCTCATATCATTATTTCTAACTACCGACTTTAAGTCATTAAAAAAAAAAAGACAAAAAACAAAATATCATTTAACTTTATTGTTGCGGAAAGTATTGAATCCAAAAAACAAAAAACAAAATATCATTTAACTTTATTGTTGCGGAAAGTATTGAATCAACTTTATTTTTTATTTATTTATTGGCAATGTTTAATAAAATAGAAAAAATCAAGATAATTAAATAACGCGACATTAATTAGATCCGACGTTTAAATATATTTATTATTTGAAAAACATTACAAAATAACTCATTAAAAAAATTAACTTGTTACTGTATGGCAAATGGTTTTTTTTTTTTTTTTTGTCCTTAATGGCAAATGGGGATTTAGAAGAATGGATCCCACTCTTGTTTGTATTAAGTTTTCTACAATAGCCAATGTGAAAGCAACTTACCGGGGGAATTTAAATTGTTTCTTTATAATGTATTGGAAAAAATAATAATAATGTACATACAACTATTATGGACCAGTCGGTGAGATCATGAAACTCTTTGTAGACGTTTGGTTTACGAATTCAAAATTATTTTTAATTTACGTGTGTTTTTTGTTAAATAAAATACTATAATAAGTCGCGAATCATGCTACAAATCTTCATATCAAACACCCTGATAATTCTCAATAAACACATATATGTACATGAATAGATTTTTGGTTGCAGTGGCTTTTTATATTGTTAAGCTTTATGGTCGCTAGATTTAGATCCGACCAAAGCAGGTGCTTAGCATGGTTTTGGAGTTGAAGTACAATATAAATATTATTAATCGACAAACTAGTTACTATATTATAAAACAGCGCCAAAGATAGTCAACTTTTCTTGTAAAAATTTTTAATTAGAAAATGAGGATTGCCAATTTATGGGGAAAAAACCGAGAAAACTACTAAAGCGACTCGGACCACCTAAAATGATCCCCTATCCCATGCTAGT